CAGATTAGGTAATTTGTCCTGTCTGGTCCAGAATCTGACCCTGAAAGACCCTGAGTACATCACATTTTTACTTAAAACTGGTCTCGGACTGAAGGTCTGTCTGCACTGAGGACAGCTGTAGATTCTCTTCCAATCCTCCTGATCCCAGCACTCTGAGATGCAACTCTTACAGTAAGTATGTCCACAGGGAATTGTCACTGGATCCTTCAGCAGATCCAGACACACTGAACAGCTGAACTGATCCTCAGCCCATGAGATACTGGCTTCTGCCATTTCACTGTATATGAAAGCAGACAGAGAGATGATACTCACTGCAGCTTGACAGTCAAGTTCCTCCTATGAACTGAAGGGTTTATATATCCTCTTGATGACATACTTAAGAAACAGGTTTTTCTGTAGTGAGTGACTTGCTGTAACTTGTTTATTTCAGTGGGTTATTTTATGACTACAGAAAATGTGCAGAACTGGGGTCCCCAGAACCAGGATTAAGAACCACTGCCATAACTAGATCATGATGTGGCAAACGTGAGAGACTGACTGTTGTCTAATGCATTGACTCATCATATATATGGAATATATTGACTATATCATTATATGGAATCTTACAATGAAAGTTAAAAAATATGATATCCAAATACAGAAATTGAGTGACAAATCCAACTGTTATTTTATCATACAATTATTAATTATGACTGCATGTGACTTCTATAAAGATTAATCTTTTTCAACACAAGCACTACGCAGGGGGAAAAAATCAGCCAAAGCTTTTTATTTAAGACATAGTACTGAAGCACTGAACTTTTAGGAGAGTTTGTGTTTTGGAATGTGGTTGGACAAGATCCGAAAAGAAGGTAGAGAAACTATGCTCATAATGTTCCAATAGAATGGAACTATGCACGTAATGTTCTATAAACAGTGTCAGGGAAAATAACAAACTGGATCCAGTAATGAATGCAATCAAATAGGGTGTTTAATAAGCATAACATAAACGCAGGAAATAGCACATGAAAATGGTCAGATGTTGTAGAGCGGCGAGGACAAAGTGGAAGACTTTGGCAGCAAGTGTTCTATGTTTTTAAGTTGAATTCTCGATCTGACAGTATTTGCTGCATTTCCAAGCGCTGCTGATCTGATTCCAGTCGTCACCTGATCTACAGTAAATGCATCACATAAGCAAAACCACCCTTTAATTTGGTATACCACATATTTTATATTACACATGGAGAATCATGTTGGTTGAGATGTTAGCGATGTCTTTAAATGAGGTCAGAGAAAACTATAAACAAATGCTCCTTAAAACATGACGTGTTAAAACATGCAGCAAAATGTGAACAATTAATGCTCAGTACAGTTACAATACTTTTAACTTCTCACATTATTGAAAACTAGGCAAAGACTGAGTTTAAGAGGTGTATGTGTACAAAAACAATTTGTTTTATTGCTGTACTGTGTTTTCTCGCCGCTGGATGGCGCTTGTGTTCAGTGTTGTATTTTTACTGTGTTTTCTGTCCTCTGCTCTAGATGGCGCTGCTGTGACGGACGGGTCGTACACCGTCCACGCCATCGCCGCCATCATGGTTCTCCTGAGCGAGCGAGGAACCGCGCCACGGAAAAACCCCACCAACCCGTGCTCCTGACGGACAAACAGATAGAATTTAAATAGATAGAATGTTAGAATTACATTTTCATTATTTTCAACCATTTTAATTCCAGCTTTATTTGTTTGTTTGTAATGACCCTAGTTCAAGATTCTTTGTTTGTTTTGTTTCAGAATAGTTTTAGTTGTGGTTTTTGCTAACCATAACATTTCAGGTTAGTCTAATCAGATCTAATATGCACTCTAAAAAATGCTGGGTTGTTTGAACCCAACTTTGGGTCAAATATGGACTAACCCAACTTTTGGGTTAAAAATTGAATGTAACAATTTTAGACCATATTTGACCCAAAGTTGGGTTGAAACAACCCAGCATTTTTTAAGAGTGTGTGAATGACAAACCATTCCATTTATTTTATAAATCTTATATTGAAGAGGCCCAAATGGAATCTAGACTTTTTTCAAATTTTGGGAATCTGAGGAATTTTACAGAATGCAGATTCAAATGTGAAGACTTTGACCCAAATTGATTGTTCCTACACTCTAAAAAATGCTGGGTTGTTTCAACCCAACTTTGGGTCAAATATGGTCTAAAATTGTTACATTCAATTTTTAACCCAAGAGTTGGGTTAGTCCATATTTGACCCAAAGTTGGGTTGAAACAACCCAGCATTTTGCTGGATACAACTAACCTGGCAGGTGGTGGAAGTGTTTGTGGAAACCTGTTTGAAAAAAACAGTCATTCATTTTGTCCTTCTGTTTGGTGATGCTGGTGGTGCGAAAATGACATACTTCCCTTTTAAATATGCTTTCACTCTTTTTTCACTTAATGTACAGTAGCATTGTAAAACAAATAGTTCTGGGTCTGATCTGATTAGATGAGCTGCGTTGCTTCATTTGAGAGCCAATCTAAAGCAGCAGAGAGGTGCATGTCGGGAGAATCGGGGCATCTGTTACCTTGTAAATGAATTGCACCACATCTGATGTCCTGCTGAAGACGTCTGGACTCACTTGAATGTGAGTTTTCACCACATCTGCTGGCTGGGTTACAATGGAGGCCAGGATGCCAGCCAGAACCCCGCAGCTGAAGTTTGCTAACGGAGCGTAAGACGACTGACTGATCTCTGAACGAGAGAGAGATAGTATATCAGTACAGTCTGATCCACATGGCTGTTACACAATCCAACATCCCTCCTACTTCATGTTTGAGCCAGTCAGAATGACTGAACTGCTTTTTTATCTCTTATGAAGAAATATTTGTAGACCAAGAGCAAGATTCTTGCCGCCTGATGTCTCATCAGATATGGTGATGGAAAAAATGAACATAAATTTAGCAAATTTATGTTCGCTTGCAAAAACTGCGTTCACTCACAAGATTTTTGCATTGCCCTCAGAAACTTTTTGTTTGCTTACAAAATTTGTGTTCCTCTGAGAAACTTTTCGTGTTTCCCCTAAGAAAATTTGTTTCTTTGTAAAATGAACCATTTAGAATGCTGAAATCCTACTTAAATCACACACATATGTAAAGCTGAAGTGCATCCAGTATATTCTCACACAAACCTTGTGGCAGCGTGTATTTGGCCTGGCTGTAGATCATGACGTATATCCCAGAGAATGGCGCATCTCTGAGCAGCGTGGCAGTCAGACCTGAAAACAAAGCCTTCGGCCCCTCCGTCCGACACACACACTGCAGCGCTCCGAACACACTGCTGTACTTATAGCGGCCGCTCTGAAACACACACATACGCTACATTATAGGTCATACAGTGTGTACAGATATACAAAGGTTTAGGGTTTGTAAGCTGTTTTTGAAAGAAGTCTTTTCTGCTCATCAAAGCTGCATTTGACCAAAAATACAGTAAAAATTTTAAATATTATTACAATCTAAAATAACTGTTTTCTATGTGAATATATTCTAAAATGTAATTTATTTCTGTGATCAAAGCTGAATTTTCAGCATCATTACTCCAGTCTTCAGTGTCACATGATTCCTTGCTTGTGGAAACCGTGATGCATTTTATTTTTCAGGATTCTTTGTATAGGAAGGTTAAAAGAGCAGCATAAAATAATTTAATGCATTCTTAATGAATAGAAGTATTAATTTCTTTCAGAAAACCCAAATTTTTTCACACACACCTCAAATCGTGTTTTGATGACGGTGACGGGCAGCATGCAGACGCCCGCAACACATCTGGCTCCGGTTCCCAGCAGTGCGGCCTGTAAGGGCCCCGGGGCCCCGTCGGCAAAAAAACGCTGCTTTAGAGTGAAATACGTGCTGAAGTAGATGCCGACTCCTGGAATGCAGCGCACAAACGACTGCGGAGAAAGAAATACAGAATATAACCATGCAAACACAAACATAACAGAGGTATCAAAGGTACCAAATCAGGTGTGACACTCACAGGCGAAACGCCTCTCCACAGTCCGAGGAGCTTCTCTGTGCGCAGGACACTCACAAACACTGTGACCATGCCGACCCGACCCGACCTAAGGCACAGAAGACGGTTCATTTAATACTCATTCCACCAGATTGAAGCCTCGTCCCGTATGTGGACTGACCCGAGCTGGACGCCGTTCTGTAGGGTCTGCAGACGTGTTTTCACCAGGTCCAGAGGCTGGAAGAGCAGCGTGGAGCACGTCCCGCTCAGAGAGCCGCACATGAAGGCTTTCACAGCCGGATGAGCCTAAATCGAACACACAGAAAGAGAGAAACCGGTTATGTGGGAGCAACATATTTAAACAAATTTTGTTTTATTTTATCTAGTTGCCAAAGCAACATTTCTCATTTTTCAACAAATACAGAGTTCTGGCATGAAACTCTAGATGGCGCAGTCCGATAGGTCTAACTCAATCTGACCTAACGACATAATTATCACATGGCACAGCTGATTGGTTCTCTCCTGTATCTGTAGCCAATGAGATCGCTGCTCAACATTCAAATATATGACTAGTGCTTGCCATAGCAGATGCAGCTTGCTTCAGAAACCCTCCACCTTCCCCAGCTCCACCTGTATAGATCTGCTACGAGGTGATTCATGTATGCTATATGGGGGTTATTTCATGTAAGTTATATTTGCAGCAGCAGTATTTCTTACATGCTCACAGCAGCATGTTGTGGATGTATTGGCAGTAGCAAGTCTCGGTAGCAGCAGCGTAGCAGATCTATTCCGCCAAAAGACCAAATACATTAACATTGTCATGTACATTACCATGCCAATCCCTCCGAGAGTTGTCATGACAGAACTAAATTTTATTAAATTAAGTACTGAATTACTGAATGTTACTAAAATAACAAACTGAAATAAAAATAAAACATTAAAAAACTAATGAAAATTATAAAAACACAAAACAATTTCTAAAAACTCAAATTAAAAAGGAAAATATAAAAATGAAAACTAATTCAAAATATTTATACAAACTGTATTCATATATCAAATAACCAAAACTGGTTTGATTTTTATTTTGGACCTCATATAAACCCTGATAAATGAAATTATTTCATAAGTTAATGATATGAATCTGTGATGCAAAGCATGACTCAGCAGAGCTTCAGTTCGTCTCCTGCTGGATTTAACTGAAGTTTCTCATCTACCGTTTAACTGAGGGTGTTTGCTCAGACCCGCCTCTTTTGACCAGCGCCATGCAAACCTAATGGATCCTTTTCACATTTCCGGGTTTCTCAGCAGCGGAAGTCGTCATAGTTGGGTTAACTTGAAGAGCAGTGAATGGGAGCGTACCACAAATATATTTTTTGCATTCCCATTTGCCCAAATAGCAAAAGAAAAACTCCACGATAGTGTTTTCATGACTTTCAATAAAAGGAAAAAAATTGAGAGACTGATAACGGCAGTCAGAAGAGAGAACCATGTCAAATTTACCGTCCCTCCCATAGACGCTGCATTAGAAACACCCTCACATTAGCGTTAACAGTTTTTTTGTGTTATAAATAGTGTTATAAATGTAGATACATTTATATGAAAAACTTTCGAGGAGTTACGATGCTGAGGACCGTTAAACGCGTCATCACAGTCTTGTGAAAAGGGCCCAAGTTTAACAGAGCCCTGCTTCACACGGACCAATCAGAATGCAGGAAAACAAGAGGCTCGGCTAAAGCCCGCCCCCCTCAGAGGATTGACTAATGAATCGGCTGCTTCACTTCTGCAAAAGCTTGAAGCAAACATTACAACAACAACAAACGTACTCCCTGAAAAGAGCCCGCTCAGATCTTCAACCGCATATTCCCATAACTATGATCAATGAACAATATTAAACCGCGTGAGCTGAGATATTGCACAGTCAGAGCTGCGGTAACTACCAGTCACACTGCCGTATCACTAACCAGATAACATGACTGATATATGACCTATAAAACTGGAGCAAGTTGAGGTGAGAGGATCAAGTCAGAGTATCAGAGTTCAGAGGGAAACTGCAGAACAGACAAAATGATACATTTCAACTAAATCGATGTCCACATCCCCCATTTGTATTTTGCATTATATTGCATTACTTGTATAGCCTATATTCTGATGCATAGTGTTAAAAAACAAAAAAAACATCTAACAAATCAACATGTAACAAAAAAACATATTTTAATGCTTTTGCGTTCTCTCGCAAAACATTCCCCTGCAAACTTTGCGCTCGCTCGCAAAACCTGGATGAGTTGATAAAAAAAACTATTTCAATGCTCTTGCGAGAGAACGCTGAAGTTTTGCGAGCGAATGAATGCCAGTAAGTTTATCGCTGAACTTTTTTTTTTTTAAGATAGGCCTAATATAAGAAACATTAATTCGGTGTGTCAAAACGTGTTTCTAGAAGTATACAGGTTTGCAAAAAGCAATTAAAATACGAACACACAGAAGCTTACCAGTGAGAACTCCATGATGTTTGAGATGATCAGTTCTTCAGAGCAGCTCGGCTTCACACACACACACACACACACACACACACACACACACACACACACACACACACACACACACACACACACACACACACACAGTGTTTATTATTCCATCAGTGTGCACCGTGCCTCTCATTATGCGCGCGCTTCCCAGGTGAGGAGCCCGCTGCTTTGGAGTTTTTCAGTCAGAAATAGTAAGGTATAAACTACAGTTTAAACTGTTCTTAAATAGATCAGCTCACCTTTTCTTTCTCTATGCTCATGAGCATCATTCAGCGTCACAAAATGATGTTTTCAATAAATGTTGCAAGGGTGAAAAATATTCGGCCTCGCAAGTGATTAGTAATCTTAGAAATAAGAACAATAAAGAAGAACGAAGAGAAAATAGAAGAAGTCAAGTGAGCACCAGTCGGTCCAGTAAAGCGCTGCTGTCTGCGCTGCTGCGCACGCGCTCCACAGGTAGGTATAAGAGAAAGGGGCGGGGTCTGAAGCAAGGTGCGTAGTAGACTCGATTTGATTGGTCAGCTGTAACGCCTGCAAGACCAGTGACCAAATGTAAGGGTTGAGAAATAATAAATGCAACTATATAAAATACAGTTTATCCAATATATCTAAAGCAGTATTCTAAACCGAAGTTTTAGGACTAACAGATTAGTCTATTAAAATGAATGAATGAATGAATGAATTAAGCATGCATCTAATAAATGAGAGAATGATGACATAGCTACAACAAAGCTAATCTCTCACAAAATAAAATAATAAACCTGTAAAAAAAATCTCAGTGAAAAACAGATTATTGGGCCATTTCAGGAGCATTTCATATTGGACCATTTCTATATATCTATATTCGCAAAGAACTCGTAAAAGAAAGTCAGTAATGCTCAAACTAGACTAGAATCTAGACTAGAAAGTGGGAACGTAACAATTGCTTAACATAGGCCTAATTGACGGTGAATATAAATTAAGAGTGTAGAATTTGACATGTCCAACCTGCGACTACTAAATTGTCCCTTGCAATAATTTTGATCAAACAAATAAATATGTGTTACCACTGTTGTAATTTCGGCATCTAAATAGGTCATGATATTAAGCTAAAGTAAATCTGCGCTCTTTCAAGGGCGCACAAAGGCTATTTCATGGGCGGAGAAAGAACAGGCAAAGTGTTTAAAACGTGCCCAGTTCTGCTGAATGATCAAACTCACCCTCTTGAACTCATGTTGTTAAACTGAAATATCCACAAAATAAACACCAACACTGAAATAAGAGCGTGCAGTTTATGTCAATCCGATGCGCGTGAAGGTTTTCTTTCAGAATCATCATTGGTCCAATTCATATTTAATATTAAAGGGGTCATATGATGCAATTAAACAATAAATGTACAGTATGTGGAAAATAATGTGTTTTTTGAACCTTAAACCGCATAAACATTTCATTACACCAAATAATGTTCTGTTTATCAGCATCATATGACCCCTTTAAAATAAAGTGATGTACAGCGTGATTAAGCAACCCAGCGCTCTGGTGCTGCTGTAATGTTGCTGGCTAGGCTAATTAAAATTGTGAACCCTAATTATTGTCTGATGAATAGGCTAACATAAAAAGCTCTTTTTTTAATAAATTAGGAGTATGTTGGTCTACAAGAAATGCTAAAATATTGTAGTAGTTGGATGGGGGTGCTGTCTGCTGTTATGTCCCCACCGATATCAAAATCAAACCTACGCCCTTGATATAAATGAGTGAAATACTCTTTTATTTTATCTTTTTGTTTTTACATTACATTCCGTATGAAACATTCACATATTTTGAAAAATGGTTTAATCATCACTGTGACGGGATTTTGTCTGACTGGCTAAATAATGCAAAGAGAAAGAGAAAATATATTTTGACTTTCAGAAAGATTATCAATAAATATTTGGGGAAAACGTCGGTGATCGAGGTGCTGACGTAAGACTAAAATCTTCGGTAAATAGTTGACGGCAGTGGGGTCATTTAAGAATTTGGTCCAGGCATCTGAATTGAGCCATTTTGTCTTTAACTGTAACTAATGTTAGAAAAACCAGGACAAAACAAGACCGAGAGCGCATACACTTGCTAAAGCGGTTTTGAAAAAGCCATTTTATTGCATCATTATACCAAGGATTCATGACAAATCTCTCCAGATATCATTCAGGAGCTGCAGAGAGAGAGAACATAACACAACATCACAAAGTCATTATTGGGAGACGATGGAGAAGAGAGAGAGAGAGAGAAATGCTCTATCTATCCATACATAATCAATAATGGTCCATTTCTCTCACTTCCCAGCAGTGTGAGCGGGAAAAAAGCAGAAGCTGAGCACGAGCTTCGAGGAGGGTCCACTCAAATCCGTTCTCCTGAGATCGTTCCGAAAACACAGATCGCAGAATAATCAAATATGATGTCGCAGAGTAATAAACGTGATCAGAGGTAGGCATGGAGGTGTTCCATGTTTTTTAAAAAACTCCCGCCAAATGGCGGATTCCCGCCCCCGCACAGCCATGCTCAGCGTTTACAGTGTGTGCGTGAGAGAAACCGTCAACCCTCCACCCTTCATGCCCTGAACATCAATAAAGACACATATACTGGAAGGAAAAGAGGAACAGAAAATATCCAAATAGTAGATTCAAGGCGATAGTGCATAGTGCCATGTCTAAATGAGTTCGTGCGTTGCCTACTCCATCTTTATTCCTTCAATCAGCCAATCAACAGTCTGATAAAACATGTCCATTTTATTGCTCGAATAAACCGTCTTTCCCCATTTCATGTGCATATAATGTGGCGTGACATTGTGTAATATTTTCGGTGCTGGTTTGATAACTAAATGCCTTATTCGTGTGTGAAGCCCAAGAGCGTAACTGTAGATGCTATCTGTAAATCTCATCACAATCTTCTATTTACCAGCAGAGGTGCAAGAGAGCGAGTGCTATGTTCATCCTTATACCATTATAAAAACGTATGAATAAAATACAGTTTTGTAGAAAGCAATTTTGCTTTGGTCCCCTTCAAATAAGTTCTCTTCTTTACCATCTTTTAATCATTTTCCTTCAGTTAGAAAAATAGATCCGGAATCGGGACTACAATTGACGGAATGCGTGCTTACAAAAATATCATTCCGCTCTTTTTCTATTCTAGACAATGACAGGAAAACACAAATTTGGTCCTCGGTGTGAGTGAAGCGGTCATGTGTGTGATTGTCAGGAGAACCATTGTGTGTGTGCGAATACACTATGGCACTAAAATAAGAACAAAAATCAAAAATCGACAAGGTTTCTCTGAGTTTTCAAGGACGTTGTCGTCCGAGACTTGTGTGTATGTGTTTGTGTGTTTGCGAGGGACCGCTGCGGTTCGGCTTCGGTCACTCGGGTTTGGGTTCGAGGGTTTCGGTCTTGGCCTCCGGGTCTTCGTCACTCTCGATTCCCGAGCGGCTGACGATGCGGCGCATGGTGAAGGGCAGATCGCCGCGTCTGGACACAAAACACGCACATTTCAATGTCAGACACGCATTCGATCACATGCAGGCCTCAGTAAGGTAACATACTTTATTCCCGATTAATCAGAATGATAGGAAAACAGAATAATAGTATAAAAATTTTGAAAAATGTAAAGTATAGAGAAATGGATAAAACAATAGAACTATAGAAAAATAGAATAATAAATTAGGAATTTCACTGTTTTAGCCTTTGAAAATTTTTTATTTTTTTGGTCATTATTTTTTAACTTTTCCAGTTTCAATTGAATTTTAGTTAAATGTTCAGTCATGTTGTTGTGCTTTTGTTATTTTTATTAGTTGTAGTTATTTTAGTACTTCAAATTAAACTAAAAGGAAATCATTTTTTAATGTCCATTTCGTTTTTAATTAAAGTTTTTAACTAAAGTTCAGTTTTAGTCAATAGCTATTTTAGTAATTCAATTTCAAAATGTAATTCGGGAATTATACAAATATGTCTATAATTTCTTATATGTATTTTTTATATATGTTTTAATAATTTCTATTTCAGTTTTAGACTGAACTAAACAAAACTAAAATTACAAATATGCGCTCTAGCAGCCATGTAAAAATTTTAGCTATAATTTATTTTATTTCAGTTAACATTTATTTTGTTTCAAGAAACAAAAATAATTTTTTTTATGGTTTTACTTAAACTACTAAAAATATGAGATTATTTTAAAATAAGTCTATATACATTTTTTATTTTATTTTAGTACTTAGTTTAACAATTCTAAACAAATGTCTACGTAATAGTTTTTATTCGTTTAATTTTAGTTTTTAGTTTTTAAGTCAAACGAAATGAAAATAGCTAAGAGTAACGAAAATGTATTTTTTAATGGTTTATTATTGAATAAGTTATTTTAGTTCTATTTAATAACACAGATGTGAATGTGCAATGATTCTGATGAAATGTAAAAAGAAATGTATTTTTAATTAATTAAACTAATGATTAATAATAGCAATTCTAATATCTCTCGTGCCGCTGTGTTTTCCCGCACCGGAGTTTGCTCTTCAGGCTGTTGACCTCGCGGTTCATGGCGTCGGCGGACTCGGAGGCGTCCTCCAGCTCCCGCTGTAGTTTCCTGCGGTTGGCGTTTGCTCTCTGCGCCTCCTCCTCGGCCTCCTCCAGCTGCCGCTTCAGCTGCTTCATGCGGCTGTTCAGCTTCTCAGACTGCAGGCGATGGCAAACAGCCGTTAGCATCACTAAACTTGAACCTTGAGCACAGAGTTTGTGGCGAGCATCACCTGATCTTTAAACTGCTCCGTGTTGCGTCTCTCGTCGTCCACCTGCAGAAACACCTCCTTCAGCTTCTTCTCCGCACGACGCACCAGTTTTGAGGCCTGCTGGCGCTCTCTGAACACACACATCATCCATTACTTTGAGCTTTCCCCAAACAGATCAATTATTGTGTACGTTTTTATTTGTTGACCTAAATGTTTAATGGCGTTTAATCTGAAAACTGTTATTTTGTAATGTAATTATATTTATAGTATATTTTCTGAATTGTAAAACATATCTTGTATGGTAAGTAGTCTAAAACTGCACATTTTTATCTATGTACTAATAAAAAATAGACAAACTACTAATTGTATACATTTTTATTTTTAGATCTAAATGTACAAGTTAGTAGGTAATTGTAAAAAAAAAAAGTAGGTGTTTAATCTGAAATTTGAAATACATTTTATTTTCTAATTATATGTCAATGTAAATTTCATTTATTGAGTTATTTTCTAATTTAATGTATTAATTTATTTGTATATTTACCAAATAATAAAATACCTAACTTGTGTGGTACAGTTTAAATCTCTAAATATCTGTATAAGTTTCTATGTATATGTATTATTTGTGTCTGTATTGTCATTAATTTTAATCTGAAATTTAAAGTACATTTCATTTAGTTAAAATGCAATTAT